TAACGCTTGGTGGCCAGCCTAATAATGTGTCAAAATGTATCATGTGCCAAAATGCATTATGTATATCACTTGTACTTCACATTATTGTACCTCTGTAAACATCTTGCCCGTCTGCCAGTATTAATATGCACCACAAAGTAGTGGCTAGACAAGCCCAGTTAACACCTATATGTGGGCTGCCGTATTGTCTACCAATCAAGGTCAGAGTCGGTTATACGCATAATTAGGATAGCTTTAAAGGCAGGACACAGTCGTGTGTCGTGAGTGATTACGAGAGAGTCTAGGCGGAGTGACTTCTGAGTGTCCTGTGTCCGTTCCAACTGAACAAGTAAGTCCTTAGTCATTTGTCTATAAAAAAGTACACAACGCAATGTCCGATTGTTAATGTAACTGAGGATCTTGTTAGTTGTCAGGAACTGTAGAAGAAAGGTTGGATATCTTGTCGTTACAATGCTGTGGTTGTTTATTATTGTGTTACGCTGTGAATAAATACACTCCTCCGAGAGCAGAATCCAGTATCCGAATCGTGCTTGCTTGAATGTTTAGGTAAGCTAACATAGAGCAAAAATGGCTATTGTTACATCAACCTTTAGCTAAATTACACATTGGGGACGGTGGTCATTTCGCCCATGATAAGAAATAATATTGTATTAAAATTTATGCATATTTGGTGGTTTCTTGCATAAGTTGTATATTTTGATGTTACTTGTCATAGATTACACATGTTACATGTAAGAAAGTCTTCAATTAATATGCGATTTAAGTCCTCATTTACATTATTCGCATTTAATAATCACATCCATAAGGACTTTTAATAGTTATTATGACCACATTATGCGTTTACATACACATATAAGCACACACAGATACACAAACCGTATTCATTTCCTTCATTTTCATAATTTGGTAATAAGACGATGGAGAGCCCATCTTTCCTACACCAGGTATAACCTGCCCCATTAACTATTTACCACCCAAAAATTGCGACCACAGCAAACTTGTATTCAACACAAGATATCAAAGAGTAATGCAGCAATCCGGCAGCAAGCACAGAATCAAATACCAGAATGCGTCTAATCAAACTTGATTTTTCTCGTCACCACCACAGCAAATGCAACAAAAATATATCCAACACACCTTCTTTTACATAACAACATACAGTACTTACCCTCGCAGATAACCCATGACCTGCTGGGGTAAGGTAAATATACACTTAGAGGTCATGTTTTCGGGTCATTGGCCGCCAAAAGCACCACCCACAGACGCCTGGCTGCAACAGTTTGGAGTGAATCGGTGAGAATTTGTTCCCATGGGGGAGGGGGGCGGCGCTGTCACATGTACTGTTTAAATCCTTTGTCCTAGCAAATATTTTTGCATGTCATTGATTTCCGCTTCTTTGTAGTTCCTTAGCTTGTCGTGTATGTTTTACCAGTGATTCTTGTCGCTATCCACCACCACTTATATAAGTTTTAAGGTCATGTTTTGTTCATACATATGAGCATGGTAAACAAGGTCTTTACAACCTTTGCTGTGTCATATTATATCTTTGCTGTTTCACATGTCCATGTAACTATGACAGTTAACATAACTCGCTTGTATGCTTTCATGTAACCATTTGGTACATTGAATGCCATCATTAACAGTGCTAGTAAGAATTTAAACTATTAGCCTAAGGCAAAATGTCAAGGCTATTACAGACGAAGTGACTACTCCCTACAGTGTTGGGTTGGCTTTCGTGGACTATGAAACTGGCAGTATTTGGAGCCAGTGGCTCTACAGGTAAGGGTTACTGTCTTTCTCATTATCCTTAGAAATTTCTGTCAGTTGCAGTGAATTAAGATTCTTACATTAAAGCTAAACATAAATAAAACTTTCATAATTTTGCCGGTCACGAACCACTGTAGATGGATCATATTTTTTTAAAAGTCCTTCTATTTACTAACCAGAAATACAATCTAGGCCTTATCCCGCTTTATTCCCGATATTCAAAGGTGTGGAGCTTGTAAAACAGGCACTAGCCCAAGGTCATGACGTCACTGCCCTGGTGAGAGACCCTGACAAGATGGCGGGACTGGTGCCAAACAAGGACCTCAAGGTTTGCTTCCTTTTTTTTTACTGATATCAGGACAAAAGATGGTTTAGACAGTTAGTAAGTTAGTTTAGACAACTATTTTTAAACTGTAACCTTTTGTTATATGTTATATATTTTGTTTATAGACATTGATATGCAAATCCAGTTCCATTACCATTATTATTTACATCATTTGTCATATATTTAATTAGTCTGTTGTTGACATCTTGAAGAGGTGATAGTCACCTGTTATGTCAACCCTTCCACAAATGTGGTAAATCTTCATAAAAAAACTAACTACAATGCAGCATGTAGTTAACAATGTTTGCAAGCATTTGTTTTTTGATATTTTCACAGATTGAGAAGATAGACCTTTCCTCTGCTGATACTGTAGAACCACATCTGCAGGAGAAAGATGCCGTCTTATCCTGTCTGGGAAGTATGTAACATAAGGTTCCATTATTTATCTGCATTGTACGTTAAAAATTGAACAGAGTGTTTGAGGATTTAATGTTCGAAAACCTGACCACGAATATCTGAGCTGTGTGTGTGTTTGTGCCTGTGTGTGTTTCTGCCTGTGTGTATGCTTGTGCCTGTTTGTGTGTGTGTGTATGTGTGTATGTGCTTTTGTCTGTGTGTGTGTTTGATCCTGTGTGTATATCTGTGCCTGTGTGTGTATTTGTGCCTGTGTGTATGTGCCCGTTTGTGTGTCTGTGTGTGCCTGTGTGTCTGTGTGTGCCTGTGTGTATGTCTGTGCCTGTGTGTGTATTTGTGCCTGTGTGTATGTGCCCGTTTGTGTGTCTGTGTGTGCCTGTGTGTGTGTTTGTGCCTGTGTGTTTGTGCATTCGTGTGTGTGTGTCTGCGTGTCTGTTTGTGCCTGTGTGTGTGTGTGTGTTTGTGAGTGTGCTTAATTCAGTTTTCCCGCGTCAGTCTTGGGAATTTGGCATGATTACTAATTTCCAAATTAGTTCATGCTGATTACATTATATGAATGACGTCCACACGCGCTTGTATTTTTGTTTATTTGCAAAAAAAACAAAAAAAAACGACCATACTGTATATCGTACAAAGCAGCCCGAAATCTCTCTATTTTGTAGGTTATAGCTGGTTTGGATCCGTCACGCTTTACACAGACTCCATGGGCGTCATTGTCACTGCTATGAGAAAGAACAACATCAAACGTCTGGTGTGTATAACATCCTGGTACACCACAGGTAAGTCAGGTTTAAATATTCAAAATCATTTTTGACATGAATTACAACATTACTCCGTGAATACCAGTTCCTCGTCCCATTGTATGAAAACCGTTATAATATGCATATTCATATAATCTCTGAAGAGCAAACTTGTGTATAGATCCATTAATATTAACCCCATTCATAACCTAGTGAAAAATATTTAAAAGTTTAAAACATTTTGTAACATTTGAGTAGTTTATTTTGCTGAAACCATATAATGTATTCAATTTAATATGTTAATACTATTACTAGAGTATATGGCAATGCGTTTAAAGTATTTGGCTGCAGCAAAGTAAAATATCCATACAGTCGTAATTGTTTCAACCTCCTCAAACTTTGACCCACCCTCTTTAAATATTCGGAACATGGCGTCAGAACACAATGCCGTACTCCGTAAATAATTTCATCAGGTTGGTAAACGAATGAATAGCAAAGTTCTTTGATCACAACTATTTAGTTTTACGAGCCGACGTTTCGATGGCCGTCTGTCATCTTCATCCCTTGCCTTACTGTTTTACTTTTTTAAGGAAATTTAGATCATAGGTCCTATGTCAGAATAGTGCTAGGGAAAATGTTGTGTTTCCTGTTTTAGTCCTGAAAAATAGGTGTCTGCAGTTTAGGTTAAGCTTTTTTCCCTAGGCCATGTTTTTAAAACTTTGCGGTCTCTAGTGATCCAACTTATACATTAGAGTTTACCAAAGTAAAACTTGCAGCAGGAAAAAAATCTATGGTCGGGAGTTTTTTGAAAGGTTGGTCTGAAAACGGGAAACACCATTTTTTTCTTAGGCCCAATAGCTTTTATCTTCCTTTAAACAGATACACCATTAGATCCGGCACCTTTCCTAATCCGCTGGATTATCAATCCGTTTTTCCTGGGACGGGTTCTGACAAACATGGCACAGATGGAAGAGTATCTTCAGGGATGTGAAGACATCGACTTTACCGCGGTCAGACCGCCAATGTTAACAACGGGACCAGTCACAGGTATGATCTGTATTAGATCTGTTTTGTGTTTTTTTTCTTAATCAAGTTGTTTCTCTTCAAATATTTATGAAAACAAGGAGGTTAGATATAAGCCAGTAAATAGAAAAGGACAACTAGATGAAAGTTTAAAAAAGTCTTACCAATTTCCCATTTCAAGTCTGCTTTAAACAAATTTTTCAGGGACGTTACAGGAAATTCGGTCACTGATGACTCACCATTCTTACCAAAATGTAAAAACAAAAAAAAAAAAAGAAAATAGTGACCACTTAATTTTTTTTTACTTCTTTGACGGAACGTCTGTTTTTGGCTGCCTATAAAAAAAAAAACTCGTTCTAATACCGGGAAAAATTACGACATGCAATACCATTTTTAGTAATTCTTTTAATGGTCTTATTCAATTGTTTCATTACCATACATTAAATGTTTCAGTACATTTTCATAAAAAAGAACAAAAAGCAATTTCAAAACGTGTAAAATCTCGTATGTATTGGACTAAATCATTGTGACCTGCATTTTGTTGTCGTTTTTACAGACATGGAATTCAACACTGCGGAAGGGCAACAGGTGCATGATAGAGATGGGATGAGAGGGATGCGACATGCTGATGTGGCCAGGTGTGTTTAAAATGTACATACATTATGATATTATAAATTTTATTATGTTATCTGTACCTTTGATTCTCTTGTTTATGTATTATTACCTTCGCCAAGAAGGTTATGTTTTCAGTAGCGTCTGTCTGTCTGTCTGTTTGTCTGTGAACAGCATAACTCAAGAAGCTTAGTATACATTGTCATGAAACTTTGTAGGTGGGTAGGTCTTGATGAGACCTAGAAATGATTAGATTTTGGGCCCCCTGGCAGCTTTTGTTGGTACTGCAGCAGAACTTCCGTTTTTGATATCTCGCGATCTAGACATGCTATGGTTAGGAATTTTGGTTGGTACATAGCTCTTGAGGTAGGAAATAAGTGACATGAGTTTGAACCAACCCCCTAGCAGCTTGTTCTGGAACTGCAGGAGCATTTGTTGAAAAATTTTTGAAGGATGATAACTCAAGAACTGGTTGACAGATTGTCGTGATTTTTGGTTTGTAGGTAGCTGAAGGGATGCTTGACATAATCAAATGACAATTATGGAAATCAGGAGCTAATTTGCATAATTAATGAGGAAATTCTATAAATCTGCTTTGTTCGATAATAGGACTATGAAACACTTGTGACATGTAATTGAGAATAAAAAAAAACATCTGAGGATATAGATTATGTAAATGACCTAATTTGCATTATAAATGGGAAAGTTTTATAATTTCATGGTTTTAACTGCTGGGAATTTCATGCTTGCCACATTTGGAAGTTAAGTGAAGGCGAACATCAATAAACATAATTTATTTAAATCATGACCTCATTTGCTTAATTTATGAGGAACTGCTATAATAGCCTTTTTGTTAAGATAAGACTGTCATTGGGTGGAGAATATGATAAACTGATATAACCCATGCAAATGAGGCTCTTATTTGCAAAATCAATGATTAAAATTGTATAAGTCTTCAACCGCAAGGGTTAACATCATTTGGCGAAGGTATGAGGTCTTGGAACTCTTGTTTATACTCAAACGGTGTTGTATAAGGGCTCTGGAAAGCAAACGACACGAAAATGAAGTTCATTCATTCATTCATTCATTCATTCATTTATTCATTCATTCATTCATTCATTCATTCATTCATTCATTCATTCATTCATTCATTCATTCATTCAATCAATCAATCAATCAATCAATCAATCAATCAATCAATCAATCAATATTAGGTATCTTCAAAGTTAGCGCTGGACCGCCTTAAGCACTTAAATGCTTCATGTCAGCAATGACAAGAAAAACAGGTCGCAAAGACATTAAACAATTGTAAATTTCATTCAATAGATTTAAAAAACAGCGTCCAAAGTGCACACAATTTTGATGTTAAGGACACCAAACATTATAACTCATACTTAATTTGCCTAGAGCTATTCTAGAGTGGAGCTTGCTGCCATTAAACACAGTAGAGCATCCCCACTAGGAAGCTTTAGGCAATATAAGTTAAAGTTTTATACTTTAAATGTGTGAAAATTACCTCTTTTTACACTGTAGGTTCATGCTGTCCATCTTATCATCTGAGGAATGGATGAGGAAATGTGTGGCTGTCATTGCTGTTCCTAAGAAGTAGTGGTCAGCAATAGTCACAATCTTTAAACAAGTAGTAGCAGTATTAGACTGGTTTATTAGATCTTCGCACAAGACATACATGCCTCCTGACGTCCGTGGAGGGCTGAATTGTGAGGCTATTTACAGAGGTATCAATCTAAAAAAGATTATACATTTACAGTTATGATCATTAAAATACAATGTTAAAATTTGCTTGATCTAATTTATTCTCGGAATCACACACACACACACACAAAACAAAAATTATTGAATGATTTTGGTAATGGGAAATATTCATATCACATAAATGCATATGTATTTAACAGCTGTGTATATCTTTTTATTGCACTAACTTTAAAGTTACAGTAACAAAACATTGTTCCTTATCATACAGTAAACATAACAAATCATAGAACAACATCTAATTTTACTTTTCTGATAATTTCAATACATCGGTGCATCTACTGTAAAATCATTATGGTATATAGTACTAAGGACAAGGTTGGTTGTGTTCCGACTATTTATTTTTCCATCTTTTCGCTTTACTTTCTAGCTCCATCAAACAGACTTTGGACAACATTTGAAATCCAAATATATTTAGGAGCTGTTTTAATAAATTGTACATCATTAATTTGCAGTGATATGCAGTAATATGCTTTAGAAAGATAATTTGAATCTCAAAAATCAGGTTCTGGTAAGTAGGCAAATGAAAATAAATTATTGCCTTCATAATCTATATTCACTAATTGGTGATAAAATAATGATATAAGAGGGATGAAAATGACATTTTTACTTAGTTGGTTCCAATTACATAACTATAGCGGGGTTCGAAACATCTAGCACTATGCACATGAGGAGAAATAGCCTCAAAAAGCAATTATTTTCCCTCATAAACAACTGTAACTTAGAGAAAGCTAGTAAAATAAATTCGACAAAATGCGGTGATGCTACGATACCCTGTGGTAGCAGTAAATGCAGCTACTTCAATGGATACGTTTTCTTAATTTATTGATGAGCAAATGAAACAACACACATTGTTGATTTGATCACAGACTGTCTTAATGTTCGTAACTTTTTAAGTAAATCATTCATGGACAAAGTACATGTCAAACTTGAGTTCCACGACATAGAGCATTTGCCAAATGACTTAAAACTTCCAGTAATACACCGAAGATTACTGCAGTAGCGAAGCCATTAATTTTTTTTTATCGGCCCACCAGCACATGTTAGTTCCGAACTGTAGGTTATGCCAGAACAACGAAAGCTCGCACAGACTCTAGCTCAGTTGTTAGTGTAGCACATTAGAAGCTGCACCCGACTAATCCAGATTTCCATACAAAACGGCCAGTTGCACTTTCAAAAAAGCTTCTTTAGGGACTCACACCACCTCATATTTGCCCCAAATTCTACACACCAATCTATAATTCCGACAATGACAATCAATAACTCCGACAATACTGATCCGCTACATGGTGGACATTGAATAGTATGAAGGCAGACTAGATGTAATTTATAAATTATACCACAAAGGTATCAGCGTCAACAACTTTCGACAACGATAGACTACTTTGTTGTCAGCCTCAAGCTTCCGCACTGCCACAAACGTAAAATGATACAAAAAATCCGTTGGAACTTACAAAAATCATAAGTGTAACTATGTTCACGTTCCCCTGATATGTTTTTGGACTAAGATTTTTTCAGATATTTTTCTATGTTGCCTTCCTAGTCATCAGCTCGCTTTCCCATGTATGCTTTCTACAAAATGTTATTTGTTAATATCGGTATTTTCTTTTTTTCCGTTCAATATCTTCACCAATGTTACCAAAGTTTGAAAGAATCATATGTTAGTCTGCTGAGGGTTAATAACCTGCCCCAAGGTGTATATGGTTCCGGTGTGACATTTAATCACCAAAAAAGGGACTTCTGATTGGTCTACGTCTTCTGGATATATAATAATTAACAATAACTATAAGCAGGATAACCCCCACCATTCCGTATGTCTTATATTATACATAACGATATTATGAATTTTACACTAGTCTTGCAGTTCAAATCACGCGTCTCGTTTAAATGGAAGCAGATAGAGAGGACAGTGACGATGTAATAAATGTCCAGGTACGTTTCTGTTGGGGTTAATTAGTTTTCTTTATTATGTTGTTTCTACCCCACTTGCACCTGCTACATGCACACAAACAGCACTTCCAACCAGCTAACAAGATCACGGCCAGAACTGACACAATCAGAGCCAGGACGTCTAACAGATAGTACTGGTAGAAGGGTAGTTCGGTTGCCCTTGACCTGAGATGAGGGAGGCCGCCATGTTTGATGACGTGTTCTATCCACCAGACTGCCCGCTCCATGGGCGGCTGTGGCTGGTCTCGGAGGATTGTAGAAACTCGTTTAGCTTTCTCCTTGTACCTACAAAATGATACAATTGATTAACTCGATGTTAAACTTGTTAAAAATTGTTATATTCAAATTGAGCCTTCATTTACATCATCAATATCTGCCTTTGTTTCGTTCCCAATTACATGATGTCACAAGGTTGAATAGTCATATTATGGAATGTATCTGATTTATGGAACATCCTCTTCAATTTAAAAATAAATATCTTTAGATTTGCATAAATGTCATATTTTTATGTCAATAATCACTTAAGCTGTCTGCATACCAAAAATCACGGTGATCCGTCAAATGGTTCTTGAGTTATTCTTTATCTTTAATTTTTCAACAAACGCCCCTGCAGTTTCAGAACAAGCCGCTAAGGGCCGAAATTCACGTAACTTCTCACTCAGCACAAGAGCTATCAAATAATCGAATTTCGTGACCAAATCTAGATCATAAGATATCAAATCCAAAAGGTCAGCTGCATCACCATAACGTACAAGGCGCCATGTGGCCAAAAAATCTAATCATATCGAAATCTGAGGTCTCATTAAAACCTACCCACATACCAGATATCAAGAGACTTCACAACCTATCGTGTTGACACGAACACAAAAACACACACACACATACACACACACACGTACACGTACACACACACACACACACACACACATACACACATGTCTATATGTTTTATATTGGTGTCTCCGAGTCACATGCTTACTTGGGATTAAAAATAACGGCAGTGATGGCCTGGTAAACCTCCTCTGACGTGACGGTATGAATGTCCAGAGTCACCGCCATCCCGCGGGCCACCACCCGGGCGATGTTCTCGTGTTGGTCCGCGAACAGAGGCATGCCGACCAGCGGTACCCCGTGGTACATGGCCTCTGATATGCTGTTATAACCGCAATGAGATACAAACGCCTTTGTCTTGGAATGAGCTGTTCGTATAAGGGAGTAAATTTTGATTAAAGTTAGGATTCTGTGACGGTTTCACCATCCCCCATATATATATATTGAATACAACACGGTGCATTCCGTATCGCCTGAGGAATCAGCCCGGCCGCAAGGCAGATCGCCCGAAGGCCGGAGGGAGATCCGATCTGCAGGAGGGCTGGGACCGAGGGTGATGCAGAATACACCGTGTTTTGTTTTTTTATTTATGTCATACCCACCCAAGAAAACGCGCCTTTCAATGCGAAATGAGCGAAAATTTTGTGTCCCTAAACCAAAAAAATGCAACAACATCAGTTCCAACGTCCGAATTTTGTATTCACATTTTCGAAAGCGGTGCACTTGGTTAGGGCGAAACGCTTTCGCATCGTTCTATGGATCATTTGGAAGCCCGGATCGTACGCTTAAAAAAAACCCGGGCCGTACCGCTAGTTATCACACGGGCCGCAACACCCGTATCGAACGTAATAGCGGCCAAGGTATGTCATGAATACATATATATATATATACCAACACAAAATGTGATATTGTAATTTCAAATACAACGCAGTGCATGGATGGCATTTACCCAGTAAGTCGCTCTGAGGAAGCCACTCCATGATCCTGGTGTTCGGCCCCAGACTTGGCGGTGGTGTTCCAGCGTTGCGCCACACGACCTTCTGCGGCAGACGGGAAAAGGCAGCGGCCAGCATCTCGGCTCTCTCTGCGGGCATAACCGTTATCAAGTTGCCGAACGTTACAATCACCACCCCGGCATCTCCAGAGCTCTGCATAAAACTATCGAGATCCTGTGTGTTCAAAATAATATAATAAGAGTTAGGGCAGTTCTTGACTTGTCCGACAAAATGACCTGAGAACCTCTTTGATAGCCATGTTTTTTCTATATATCACAAAGAGTGACACTTCTTAGTAAAAACTTAGTAGGATCCATCTTTGGTTTACATGTAAATTAAGGATTCACCTTTCGTGGGGTCAGAAAAAAATAGACACAAACGATTTATATTTGCCTGAACTGCTAATAAAGAAAAACTATTAGATTCACAATAAAATGATCATTTACAATGTTATGTTTGTATTTTGAAACGCCCATGTGTTTTGTTATTTTTCATTGACTGTATTCTTCTTTGTTGGTGTTGAGGCTATCACGTCTTGTACTTTTCATGTTGTTCGATAAGAATTAAGGTAGCGCTGCTTCTAATTCATTTCGATTGTCAACTAACCTCACTGAGCGGCTTGGCCTCATCAGCCATGTAACCTGCTATGCTGACCATATTTGGCATGGTGGGTTTGGGGTAGTCAAACATGACGCCTGTTTGGTACAGCCACACGTCTGTTCTTGCCAATGCAGAAAATATGGTGAAGTTGCTACCAATGGTCCTGCTCGTGTGAAGAAAACAGAATGTGCGTTGTTTTTGACATATCATTTTTTGTATATTCCAGCATTTCATGACTAGACATGGTGACAGCAAACTCAAGTTTTATCAGCTTATTTTATGCCGCCACCATCGCATGGGATGAATACAGGACAGAACAATACTCGGGAAGTCGTGTTAAGTGCCTTTCCCAAGGGCACAAGAACGGTGGCATGTAAGAACTGGAACCCGCGACATTTTGGTTCTGCGTCGAGCACGCTGCCGCTACGCCACACGACCCCAAATGTCGTGCAACAGCGCCATCTTGTGGCAGACAGCAGCAAGCGTCCTATAGGCTACGATTAAGACTATTTGGACCTTGACAAGAAAAAACCACACACCACCCAGAAAACGGTATCCCCATACGATACACACACCTGCTTGCAATGGCGTCGAATCCCCTTTCAGCAATTACTTGTCCCATGATGGTCAGCCCGAAGTAAACCAGCGTGTTCTTGACCCTCTGTAAGAAGGTCATCTGATCAGTCAGTCCTAACATTACTGTTGGTATGTAGGATACAGGATTTGGAACGCCGGTGGCCTGGATCTCTGTAACATGACAACAAAAGACGACTGCAGTTTTATGGTCATAACAAGAAACAAATATAACTTCACATTTTCTTATGATGCAATATGAACTCAATTCTACACTACTTGTATTTGCTACGTATATGAAATCCTCATTTACCAATAAAATGGTGTACCATTTTCCCGGTAATCATACTCGTTAAACCCGTTTAAAGTAAAGTATGCTAAAAATACAGGAAAGGTATCTCCTATTTAATTTATATGATAATATTCTCCTGTACCATTTACCGGTAATCATACTCGTTAAACCCGTTTAAACTCGTAAAACGTTAAAAATGACATGTAAGACCAAAAAAGTAAAGTATGCTTAAAAATACAGGAAAGGTATCTCCTATTTAATTTATATGATAATGATAATATTCTCCTGCACATCCCATGAAGTATGAAGTAACTTAGGATTAAGTTCATTGACTTCATATCCCTCTTTTTAACAACTTCCATGGTTCCAAGCCATGGTCATTACGCGAGTTCACATGGCATCGAATATTAAAAAATGGGTGACAAAACAACAATATTTCATTTCATTTTTCATGGTTTACCAAGCTGGGTAATGCATGTATCGTAATAACGTGATGTAACAAATGTAATGATTTCTTTCTAAACACAGACTTATGTTTTTGTCCGTCATAAGTAACTATTTGCTTCAGTGCAAAGGGACTAATATTCTAAAGAAACTACATTGCTGTCATTGCATAATGTGGAAAACAACAGTACTTATGTCTTTCTAATAAAATAGGATTGTGATCATATTTGGCTCAAGACAAAAATATGACGTACTTTGCTATTGTGGGGTATAAGCGGGAAAGTCGCCATGTGGTACTGACTCTATGTCACTTATGAAGCGTAAATGAGCATCCGTGCATCATATAGTATCATTGGAACGATAGAATGCTCATATATACATTCATAGAGTGTAAGATATCCAAACAAAACGCACCGAGTACAAACGGCATAAACATCAGCGTGCAGACCAGAGGCAGGTCCAAGTACTGAGCCACGAGGGACCCACATGACATCCCCGGATACGTCAGAACTACGTTATAATGGCTGTTCTTCAGTCTCCTCAGCAGCTGAATGTCACTCAACATGTTCTGGCAGTCATCTGTAGCAGCTTCATTCATCATCATATGGGAATCCAGCCAAGTAATTGAAGTCAATACCTGGAACTGTATGCAATATATTTAAAAAAAAAGCTGAGGATACTTGGGTTGGATTTACGGATGGAAAGTATTTTTTTTTAAATTTCATTGACAACAATGCAACGACACATACATTGTAGTACACAGAACAAGTAATATACAAATGTGGTGATCTGAAAATAAAAGGCTTTCAAAGCCGAAAAGATCAAGGAACTTTTAGAGACATTTCAATAAGAGTGCTAATGGAAAGGTTTGTATACTAATATTGTTGACAAGATAAGGTAACATCCATTACATTTCGTCAGTGACACTAAGAGACCAGAGGAGAAATGCAGGTTTATAAGCACGAACTATTACGTTCAAAGAATAATGTTTTACTATTCTAAGTGATTTCAAATCACCTTTTAAACTACCCTGGGTGCCAGAACTCGTTTTTCGGGCGGCAAGAGCCCTTCGCCCACCGGTCTAAATTACCGCTACGGGGGAGTCTAGCGCGGGGGAGTTTGGCCACCCTCCAAAGGGACAAACAAACCCCTCGGGCTCAACTCCCCCGTATCGGTAATTTAGATAGGCGGGCGAAGGACTCAGGCTGCCGAAGGAAAACGGCTAACGGCCCGATACTAGTTTGGCACCCAGGGTACTTTTAAACATTTGGTTCAGAACACTTACCATTATCTCTGGTGGAGTATTTTTCAAGACCTCGATAAACAATGGTGCTTTTTCGGGATCACCAAACGTTTCATAGCGGAAGCTCGGCCATTTCGTCGTCAGGTCGCTCTTTTCACTGGCAGGAGCTACCACAGTGACGATGTGTCCTCGGGAAGTCAAGGCTTCGGCAATCTTCGCCAGGTTCAACCAATGGCTGCCGAACGTGTTCGTCGCCACGAGGATGTCTGCAGCTTGAGCTCGTTGTGACCAGATGATTACAACAGCCAGTAGATGGAAGCCAGTCGACATTTCTGCTTTAGCGGTTTTACAATGCGTTTATGCTGTGGACAAGGAGTTATAAAAGTAAGAGAAGGTAATAAAACGGAGATGACGGTATTAACCACTGGAACTATTTTTAGGCACCTGCACTCACGAAATGGCTAACTAAGGGGCAGGTGTTCATGTGTAAGAGTAGAGATTGATGATGCAATAGCAACTTGGCGTTAGGGACTACTTGATTTTGTGCTGTACATGTAAAAAAACTGCTATTCTGGAATTGCCTTACGTAGACTCTACAACATTTATGAGTGAACTTGGACTGTTGGAGCTGTCTCATGAAATGTGTTAAAACATTTTCTGTAGCAGATAAAAACCCATTTCCATGGCTTATTTTTAAGCATACAATATTTCTTTCAAGTGCTCCATTAACCATCAACAGAACACCTTCCCGGACTGATTAATCTGTACACCTGGGGTCCGCGCGGACCCCAGAGCAGTTTTTTGCTAATTTTTAGAAATTATCAACATGCTACCAGCTCAATTGTTTTGCAAACTGATGTGGGAACCTCTGTGTCCACATTACATACAAAAATCATACATTTTGAACTTTTTCTATTTTTCGTGAAGAAAAGAAGACAAGAAGAAATACCCGATTTTTAAACCCATTTCAGACTGAAGGGGCTTTTGAGGCCCAACTTTGATCTCAGATAGCGGCTAAACGGCTTGCGCTAGAAGTATCAAATTTGGAGACCTTTCCTAAAATGTCTCTGGAAAAAAGTTCATATTAGTTTAATACTAGTAAATTGATGTTTTTTTTGTGTTGCCATGGCAACGGATTTCTTTTTTTGAAAATAGAAGTAATTTTGGTTTAAACATAAAAATTTTCTGAGTTTTATATTAAATTACACTTCTTTTCCAACATTAATAACATCTTACATAATTAAATATAAGTTAAATCATTTAATATGCATATGATATGCTAATTTGATGACGTCAATGGTCAAAATCCAATATGGCGGACTATATTATTAGCTCTGACGTGATATGACGTCATAATTACACAAAAGTTATTAAAATTTAATTCTATTACTACACCATTCTCTGAAAACTTGGTAGACATACGATGAGTGCATAAAAACATATAAAAACGGAAATAAGGTAATGTATAAGAACGCCAGTGTATCCATTATGATCGAAAGCCGGCTGGGGTCCGCGCGGACCCCAAAAGAAAATCAGATATAATTTTTTTTATAAATGGTAGAAACGGAGTTTTCTGCACTGTATTGAGAGACAACTTTGTGGGTGACAATTACCTAAAATTTCAGAAAAAAATCTTTAGAAACAAAAAAGATATTACAGAATATATAGTGCTGGGGTCCGC